TTTCTCTCAGTCTGTTAACGGCAATGATTTTATTTTGAAATGAATGACAGGAAATGAAGACTGTTTGTACCAGCGGATCTTCGCAGCTGCTTCTCTGAGGCATGAAGTCGTACACAAAAAACTTTGACACAAGGAAGGTACGTGGGGAAAATCCTGTGGTGGATTCAGTCTGTGAGGGCTGACTGAAGGTACACTCGTGTGTTTGTGTTTTCTCTGGACTCTTTGTTGACTTGTTCGTCCAGGGGCTTGTTTGTTTGTTTGTTTGTTTGTTCGTTTCTTCTTCATGTGTAGCGATCTGCAGAAGAAGCGCAATCCGGTCTATCTTTGAGTATCGGCCGTAACAAAGTTCATGATAATGTTTGTTATTTTTTTTTTTTTACATAACAAGTTGGATCTCTTCGTACTAACCCACAGTTTGATTGATGTTAGAGGATATTATCGTGAATAATCAGTTTCATACGAAGCTTTGTTTCATGTGAACTCACGACCAATGTTTGGGTTGTAATTAATTGTGGGTATCACTGCTCTTCAATTTCACAATCCGGCGTATACAAAACACATAAAATGCTCTATTTTTAGATGGAGTTTGGCAGAAAAGACAGATCCAGGCGTAGTCTAAACTAAATAAATGACCTCACACTATGGAAAAGAGGTTTCCCTTTTCTCATTGAACGAGCCTTCAAACATTGAAGTGCATGTTTTGGAGTTCATTGGAGTACAGTGTGAGTGTGTGAGTGCAGCATGGGTGTCTGGTTACAAGCAGCACCGAGCTTGTGACTCCTTCTTCTGGAGCTGGGCTGATCTTTAACCCAGATTTACTCCGGGACTCTGTGTCGTTCAGTTTTTTTGGGGGGTGAATGTATAAACAGTATTGATCCATGGTTCAAAACTGCGAGTCCAGAGCTACTTACACAGACAGATTCAATCATTTAGATTATTAGTATATTAATAAGTAGGGGGGCGGGATTTCTTGCTGTTACTCAAAGACTATTGGCCTAACCAACCGAATACTCTTCTGACTTCTAATAACCCATAAAGAAGATCAAATATGAACTAAGTATTTGTTTCTAATGTGCGTTTTACATTAATATTTTGGAATCAATTGTTTTTTGTTTTAGTTTTTTTAAAGGTGATTTGGTGATTTGGTGAAATTTGAAACTTGGAGAAGTGAAGCAGTTATATTTAATATTTTCTGAACTGAATACACAAATTGTATTTAAAGAAAAAATGGGTCTGTGGACACTGTTTGGAGCTTAAAAAGCGACCAGGAGAGTTATGGTTTCACTGATGCGGACCACATTTTCCTCTGTTTGTGTAAAGAGTTATGAACATATATCACAGAATCTGTACACTTCTCCAACTTTCACACAAAATAAACACACTGAAAAAAAACAAAACTTGAGGCTCCATTAAATGCAGCAGCACACGTTATACAATCTTTTACTTTGCAGATGAAGGTCGGTCTAATTGAGCTCATGTGATAACATCTCATTCTTGAATATTTGTGATTGAAAGAAGAAAACTTTTTGCAACTGTCTGCGGTCTCTCTGAAATCTCTTTCCCAGTTTGAAATCCGCATTTTACTCTTTAGATACTGTTGTTGTGTGATGTTGATCAAAGGTGTCTGTCTTTAATAGCTTTTTAAATGCTGTAACATTTGAACACAGGCATGGAGGACAAAGATGAAGAGGGGAGCTGCAGTATTTACCCCTCGGTAGGTCATTCCTCAACATTCATCTGACTTCAGTGTTTGAATATGCAGTTCAACGTCCTTGTCTTTGCAAAAAATGATGATGATATTACAGACAAAATTGTTCAAATGTGTGGAATACCTTACAGATATGTTGCACTATGCAATGCGTAAACAGGATTAAAGGGGGGTTGAATGAATTAGTAATACAAGTTTCTCACAGTTCTTTTAAACACAGTCCGGTTGGTTTCACGCCTTTGTTTTGTTTCCACACCCGATGTTTCTTCCAGACCCTGCTTCCACTCGGCAGTGGGATCAAGGACACCATGGAGAAGTTTTTGGCAGAAAGGACCGAAGCCAATATGGTAACCGTTACTGGTTTGACTGGGACATTGTTTTCACGTTGCTTGTTTGATTTAAATGAATGTTTGGTGGTGCACTGGAGAAGGATGTCATGTGGAAACATGAATGACTTTGGTTTAACACGTGAACAGGTAGAGTACATGAGAGGGGTTTTTGATTATGTCATGGAGTCTTTGATTAACAGATTCATATTCTTTGTGTTTTGTCTTGCAGTGGACAGCCGTGCTGATCGGAGCTGTGTCGATGATTTCTTTCGTTGGAGTCGTTGTGTTCCTTCTTTACAGACGATACAAACTGTCAAGTCAGTGCCCTGCACACTGTCCATTTCATCCATTAAAGCTTCATTCAGATCAAATGTTCTAACAGAGGCCGTGTGCTGTGTTTCAGAGGAGAAGGCCGGGGTTCCCCACTATCGCTTTCGCAAGAGGGATAAGGTGATGTTCTACGGCAGAAAGATCATGAGGAAGGTCAGTAGTACCCTCTTTACATCACACTGAGAGTTTTAATCATAGAGTGGACTCTACTCCCCTCCACTCACTTGTATTGATAAAGAAGCTTTCATATGAACTAGCATGCAGGTCACACCTACACATTCACACACTGATGGTAGAGGCTGCTGTGAAGTGACCATCAGTATTAACTCATCTACACATTCATACCCTGCGCTGACAAAGCAGTGGGCACTTGGGGTTAAGTGTCCAGCTCAAGGACACATAGCTGCAGGAGCTGGGGATCGAACCCCCCGACCTTCGTGTTTAGAGACGACCGACCTACTACTGATCATCACAGCACTGATCAATCACAGCATTTTAAAAATAAGTTTAAAATCAGTCAAAAGTTGATAAAGACAAAATGTATGCTAGAAAATAAAAAAAACAATTAAATTGATAAAGTGTTCACCAAGACTAATAAATGAGTCATAAATGAAAGGCAGAAAAATAAGATATGTCTTAAAAATACTCTTTAAAGGTAGACACTGGGCTCGTTGTTTTGAAGCGGAGAGGTCCGAGCTTCTCCTACAGCTCACAGTGATGAATCTATCAGCAGTTATAAACCTGAGAGCAGAGTGAATTGTTGCTGTTTTTTTAAATCACCTGAAGCTCAGTTAAAAGGTCAAGTTACTTTTGGTCATGTTCTGTTTTCATACACAAATACTGATTTTTATTTTTTCTTCAGTCAAACAAATCATGTCAGTATTTATTTTTGTTCTAAATTCATTGCAACAAATCACTTTCAATGAAAATAGATATGCAACTTTGGGAGTTTATGTCTTATTATCTAGCAGAAATCTGCTTTTTTATTTTACAGAGAGAATTCAGAATAATGACAGAAAAAGAAACTGATGTGCTTTAGTGGCCTGGGTCTTTTTAAAGGTCATCATGTTTTTTATCTTTCACAGACAGATGAGATTGAGTGATCTGTTGAAGATAACTCTGTCTTGAGTCTCTGTTTCTTGTGGGGCACAAACTCCTTCCATAACTTCAGATTTTGTAATGAAAGTGAAATTGAACTTTCCATATGCGTTAACTCATGTATTGTTTTCTAAAAGTACAAATGTAAATGTCAGCTAAGCAAACTTGTCTTGTTTTGCAGGTCCAGACACTGTCCTCTGCCCCTGCCTCAAATTCAAACTCAGCTTCACGGCAGAGAGTGAGGAAGAGGACCAAAGTCCTCTCTATTGCCCGCAAGTGAGTCATTTCTCTTCGTCAGTGGGTTGAAAAAAGAACATAAGATTTGAGTGTTACAGTACATACCTCAACCTGGAAGCGATTGATTGACAAATCAAATCAGTGGTGTGTGAACGGATTAGTTACTTCTGATGGTCACTTTACATAGAAACCTCTGTCATCAGTGTGTGAATGTGTAGGTGTGACCTGCGGGGTGAAGAGCGCTTTGAGTAATCAGAAGGTTTGCAAAGTGCTAAACAAGCTCAAGTCCAGTTACCATTCATCTTAACTCAAGGTCCATGCAGATAAGCAGGTAAATCAATCATGATATCATGTCGGAGACGGCTCTGGTAAATATTTAATCGACTGAAAAGAACAAATTCTAAAAACAGCTAAAGCTTAGGAAATGTTCCTTTACTTTATAAAGTATCACATTGAAAAACTGCTGAAGTTTAGAGAGATCTTTTGAATAAAGTTTCACCAGATGACTGTTCATCATGAGTCTCCTTCAGGTTTCTGCCTCTTAAAGGAAGTCTTTCCTCTCCACTGTCACTTTGCTAAATGTTGCTATGATGGATTATAGCATTGGGTCTTTTTAGATATTTTAACAAAGAGTAAGGTCTTTTACCTGCTCTTTTGTGTGTCTGCAGATAAGATTTGTTTTGAATTGCCGCTAAACAAATAAAGATTGATTGATAGATAAAGTGCAAAATGTAAACCCTTTAAAAAATCGTAATTTTAAAACAGAATAGATTGAGGTAAAACTTAACATGGTACCTCTTTAGGGATGTGTTTTAAAGCGGTTCAAAACAAAGGTAGGTTCGATTTAATCGATTTTATTTGTTATAGAAACATCTGTGTTAAAGCAGAAGTGTAAACACAACATAAAGCTGTGCTAGACGGTAAACAAAAAGTTGACAACTTACAAGTGCAGTTTTAAAAGCAGTTTAAAGGAACAATCTGTAAGATATCTACTGAGTGAAATGATAAAGTGAACTTACTATATGATCAGACATTAAGGAAACATGCTCTGTTGAAGTGCTGGCGCCTCTCTGACAACAATGCAGCAGCCAGTATGTCCTCCTTCTAACTTTAGATTCTGCTCCTGAATGCTCTGGATTTGTTTGGACCAGAGAAGATAGGCGGTTTTAAGGCACACCAACACATATGTTTTGGACGCCCCTCAGGTTGCCAGATATGAGAGCAGTTATCAGGTCAAACCAACAGGTGTTGCAGTGATGGAAGCAGCAAGAGAAGTGGTTCAGATAGAAGTGATTGTACCCGACCTAAAAAGCCTCTGCATGTTTCTAATAAGCTCCACGAGCAGAAACGTGCTCAAACTAGGATCAATATTGGAGATACTTTTGAAAAATGGAGAGAGGTTAGAACACAGAAAGGTTTACAGACCCATGCAGAGCTGGATAAACACTGAAGCTTCAGAGTCCACCACATGGTGACCTGTGTGAGCATCAACTCTAGAGAGGAGGGGGGGCGGGGGGGAGACAGCTCTCTATAATGTTTTCAATTTCGATTGCAGTACCAATTTTAAACACTAGGGTTACATAATGCTCCTTTAAATATCACAAGTAGACTAAAAATGTCCATGATATAAGTCAAGCATCATCCCTTATCTACACAATTCATACACAGTGAAGGTCAAGTTTATACGTATACATAAGTTATGTCTTTATATTATAACAAATTATTATTATTATTATTATAATTATTATAACAAGAGACACACGAGTGTAGAGAACATGAAATCCTCATGAGGCTACCGAGGGAGAGGGAGGACATAAAGATGACTGTGAGTGTTTGTTCCCTGTTGTTTTGTGTTATTAAGTGTTATTAGTATTTATATGTTGAGAATGAATCTGGCTCCAGGTTTCATCAGAGGGGTTTGACATTGATGGTCTTCAAGTTAGAGGCAATGAGGCACGCTTTGTCCCCTAAAAAGAGAGACCTGTACCTGCACCCTGACAGTCGTGCGTGTGTGTGTGTGTGTGGTGTCCGAGGCTATTCATAGTCCTTTCTCTTTTTAGTCCCTCTGTTGTGAATGCTGCTGTTTTACTGTTTAACTGGAAGAATACTAACTCACTATGTTTTGTAAGGATCCTGCGCATCCGGAGAGAACCCCCCACCCTGCAGCCCAAGGAGCCCCCACCCTGTCTTCTGGAGGCTGACCTGACGGAGTTCGACGTGCAGAACTCCCATCTGCCCTCAGAGGTGTTGTACATGCTGAAAAATGTAAGGTAAGAAGAACGACAAGCTTTTTTTCCACAATACTCCCACAGAGACACGGTCACATTTTAAATGCAATCCTACTGAAGAGGGAAAAAAATCAAGAATGAGTTTGGTGTTACCATGGTAGCTCAGACGTTTTCCTTACTGAGACAACATGGAACAATAAGCCCTGTCGGTCCACAGATTGTTGGACTGCTCAGTGAAGAGTTCGACGTGTTGCTCTTCTGAGGGAGTATAGACTGTTTCTAAGGAGACGATTTCACCCATTTGTTTTTGGACGGCTGTTTTGAAGCCTTGAATTTGGCATTTGATCAGTGTCCATCTTCTTCTCTGAGCCAGACGTTTATATAAGCACCGAGCGAAGTAGTCATGTAACATACTGTACGACTTAGTTCACACTATTCAAGAGTGAAACCAGGATCACATGAGACTTTGATACATCTAAACCCTGAGACATCACACACAAACACAAAATAGATTCATTCATCTTACACAAACCACATCCCTCACCCCCTTGCTTTGTCTTTAACATAATACCATTAAACAGACAACGATTGAATAACAAGTATTCAACATATGTTATTTCCATTTTCCATAGTCTAACTGCATCAGATGTTCATGTGTGTTGTATCCAGGGTGCTCGGCCATTTTGAAAAGCCTCTTTTCCTGGAGCTGTGTCGCCACATGCTGCTGGTCCCGCTGCACCAGGGCGAGGCGCTCTTCAGACCGGGCGACACCGACGACAGTATTTACGTGGTTCAAGATGGCCGCCTGGAGCTGTGCATCCACGAGAGTGTAAGACCCCCGGGACTGACCGCAGCAGATAAATCACAAGAATTCACACTCATGCTTCTGTAAGACTTTTCTTTCTTTTTTTAACTTTGATTGTGTGTTGTTTTTTTTCTCTGCAGGATGGAACAGACGCTGTGGTGAAGGAAGTGTTACCAGGAGACAGTGTTCACAGTTTGCTCAGCATCATGGACATAATAACTGTAAGTCTGCCATGTGATATGAAAACCATCTAAAAGAGAAACTGTCACTGCAGGTAGCATCATAGAGTCTTCACTCCTCATAACATCTCTGTTCCACTTGTCTTCACACATTTTTCTCTCTCTGTGTTTCAGGGCTATCCAGCGCCTTACAAAACTGTCTCTGCAAGAGCTGCCGTTCCCTCCACTGTCCTGCGTCTTCCAGCTGCAGCCTTTCAGTCAGTGTTTGAAAAATATCCTGAAACTCTGGTCCGTGTCATACAGGTAAAGTGTCTTTGATTCACAGAGAGAGCGACAGGCCTGTATGAGACGCAGCTCACGCAGCTTCACTACATGGAAGCAATTCTCTTGTTTTGTCTGTGCTGCAGATAATCATGGTGCGTCTACAGAGAGTGACCTTCCTTGCCTTACACAACTACCTCGGCCTGACCACGGAGCTCTTCAACCCGGTATAGTTTTATACTTTCAAAAATATGTGCCCAAATATTTTTAGTTGGATTACCTCACTTTTTGCTTGTATTTACAGTAACTGCCATTTTTGACCTCACACTTTTTCATACTCTTGTTCTTTTTTTTTAATAGCTTTGCTTCATTTCTTTGTGAACTTGTCATGCAGGATTTCCTCATAGTGGAGGCTTTTCCTAAGAGCATGAGTTCAATGTATCAGTGGAAGACATCGAGACAATGTCCCAATTCTGACAGCTGTACAACAAAGCACATCCAACAGACGTACCAACTCTCTAATATTCAGAAATGACAAATAAAGACATGCAGGATTAAAATCATGACATGTGTAGCAGTGCAGACCCAGGCTTAATGATTGAGAAGAAAACAGAAAACTGTAAGTTAAGACTTCTGATTAGAGGAAAAAATGAAGCCAGACATCATGCTTCATAGCCTGTCAATTTATTTATTATTTTATTTGAAAAGGGACAGTGTACATTAATCAACATTCAGACGGATGGAAATGGACCCGATTTGGCCGCTAACTTTCATGGGCAGTCCCTTTGCCAGATGTTATTTGGCATCATAGAATTAAATGTAACCCGTTAACATTATGTTCATTAGTAATGGAACTTAACAAGACAAACAAAACAAAGAAAAACAACAACAAACACAGATATATACAAGACAACTTTGGGAAACAAGAACAAATAATCTCCAACATAGGACATGATACAGTTAAAGTTACCAAGAGTAGGTGCAGCATCAGTGTTTCTGGGTAAGATGGATCTGACCTCCTCCGATCAGACATTTCAAGGTTTTACAGCACAACAGCGGAAAGGAAATGGGGGGCCATGTTTGTCTCTTCTGCATAATCATGATATCATGTTTTGCTCACAATCATTGTAAAACCTTTGTGCCGACATTAGCAGTGGCCCATGACATTCTTGTGACCCTAATATCTAAAAATGACTGAATGCTTTGTCTTTAAATTTAGCACAAACAGCCTTTTGCACTCAAGGATGAACTGTTTATATTTTAGCAGTGAAAGAAGAAAGTCTCTGTTCTGTGACACCTCAGCAAAGTGTGGAGGGACTTCATGTAAATGACATCTGGTTTATGAGTTTTATTATCCATCAGAGTTAACAACCCCACCATGACTGGATTAGTGGATTATCTCCCCTCACGCTCCCCCTCGTGTTGTCTCCAGACTACTGACTGTCACATGATGATATGTCACATGAACAGACTTTCTATTGTTGTCCCTCCTGTAACTGATGGCGTTGCACCCTCTCCTGGTTTAATGTAGTCCTTCTTTATTTAAGAATTATTTTGAGGTTTTTGCCTTCATTTGATTGGACACTGGATGGAGTAGGAAATCGGGTGGGAGAGAGTGGGAATGACAGACGGACTTCAACCCAGGCTGCCCATTTGGATATGGGGCGTCACTTTACCGTTAGTCCATTAGCGCCCCTTAATGTAGTCCTACTCGTACTGTTGTGTTGTTTTAAGGGTTCTGCGTCTTCCAAATATGTTGATGTACAAATACATCCCAGCTACACCGTCATTATGCCCCGTCTAGGGGAAGCCAAGACACAATATGAACATAGGCCCAAATCTATCACTTCCCAAGCAGCCATGGAGAACAGGTTAACTCCTTTCAACCAGAACGTTTTTTATTTTTGATATAAACGTAAATAACATACAGGGATATAACAGTGCCAATTTGAATAACTAAGGATAAGGGTGAATCTGTGTCCAAACACAACAAACAAAACGGAGGCTACCTGGTGAAGCGAACTAACCTGATAGATCAAGGAAAAGCAAAAAGAAGCTTACCTCCCCAACTAAACAAAAACATGAGAAAATAAGGTTAAAGTAGTTAGTGACTCACCCCCCTTCCAACACAAAACGAGCTCAGAACAGATTAACAAAGGAAACGTGGTGTGGCCTGTTGGAAGGTGAAAGACGGGGTTCCCCCTGCACCGCGGCAATGTCATCTTCCTGATCTTAATAGTGTGGAAGAACTCTCTGCAGCCTATCATTAGCAGGGGCAGGAAGAAAAAAATTATTACAAATGTTTAGACAAAAGAATCCACCTTTCATGACAGCCCCATAAAATACCATTTTATCTCTGACAATTAAAGATCAGGAAATTATTTTTATTTTTTTACTTTTCTAACCAAAAGTCAGTCATTAAGTCATCTTCCTGATCTTAATAGTGGGGAAGGCCTCTCTGCAGCCTGCCGTTAGTAGGAGCAGGAAGTTGATGGACCAATCGGCTACTGGGGCTGGCACACCTATTTAAGATACAGGAAGAACACACACACAACAAACACAGCCAATAAAAAGAAGATACATATCATGAAACACCATCATTCTGTGGATGTAATCTTTAAGTCAGCTGGTTGGCTGAGGTATAAGACCGTTTAGCAGTAATTACAGTTTAAAAAAAATATTTCTTCTTGTATGTTTTGCAGGAGAGCCAAGCCATCTCACTGGTGTCGGTGGCCCATGTTCTGGGTGATGGTCATCCACACAGAGGCCTCCGTAGGCAGCCTTCCCACTCTGATGATCAGGGCTCTGAGAAATCAGACACAGGTCAGACACAGCAGCCATCTTTAATCATTTCTCGTGTGTGTGTGTGTGTGTGTGTGTGTGTGTGTGTGTGTGTGTGTGTGTGTGTGTGTGTGTGTGTGTGTGTGTGTGTGTGTGTGTGTGTGTGTGTGTGTGTGTGTGTGTGTGTGTGTGTGTGTGTGTGTGTGTGTGTGTGTGTGTGTGTGTGTGTGTGTGTGTGTGTGTGTGTGTGTGTGTGTGTGTGTGTGTGTGTGGTCTAAAGCTGTCTGTTATCTTGTTTCTCTGTGTCCCAGAAAAGTCCGGCCTCTCTGAAGTGCCCACATCCAAGTACACAAAGTCTCGCTCCCTCTCCACCCCAATGGCTGTGACAGGTATAAACACACAGAGTGTCAACCTGGATATGTTTATCATTATATTCAGAGTGCCTCGTTTGTGTACAGAGTATGAAACAGATTTAGGGCCTGACAAGGAGAGGAAACATATTTTTGTTGGTTAAGAGAACAAAGACCAAATAAAGAGATAAAGTGGAGCTTCAGTATCAATGCAAGCTATAAGAAACATTCATCTCAAAGGGATTCAAACTGTGGCGATGTTAGACTCTCTTGGGGCCAAAGGCAAAACATCCACAGGGGGCCCCTCTAAAGCAAACTGACACAAACACATTTTTTTTAGGGGAAGTTTTGTTATTTAAATGTCTTTCGTCCATATTCAGGGCTAGACAAGTATCATTCAGTAATTAACTATTATATTAGTGAGTGCTGTCACATGGGGCCCCTTTAGGGAGGTTTCCTACTGTCATTGCAAAATTGGCAAATTTTTAGCTACTGCTATGGTTTAAAGTTTATCAGCCCCTTGGGCCCCCGAGCAGTTGCCTGTTGACAAACAGCGTCTCTGAGAATTAAGAAACAAGACTAAAGATGACATTTGGAGAGATAAAAAAATGGGATTTTCAGTATAAGAGGCAGGTATAAAAAAGGAGGAAGGTTTTTATTTCAGAACAAAACTTAAATAAACATCCATCTCTGATTTTTGTTCTCTTTACCCACTCTTTACGGTCCCTATTTAAAGGTCCCACACTCAGCTGTGCAAAAAACTGTGCAAGTTGCATGCTCATCAAAAGTTTACTAGCTACTAGCAAGAAAAAGCTAATTTAGATATCTCAAGATATCCCAGGTACTATTTCTAAAATTTCTACCTGAGCATGCATATATTGTTCTCTTCTTACCTGTACAAATTTGAGTTTTCTACTTCAGAATACATATTTCTTAGCTTTGCAATATAAGTATTTGTACACATACTTTGTCCCTCTTCTTCTACTTGAATGTGAGTTGTTTGTTTCTGATGGATGCCTGTACTGTCTGTGCACTTTAAGGTAAATCATTTTATTGTAGCGTTGTATAATGACAATAATGGCTTTCTATTTTATTGTTAATCCAAGTAAAAAAAACAATCAGTTTTTAGTGGTCCTGCGGTTTAGTCAGCAGCTGTGGCAGGTCTACGTAATGTAACACTGCAGCCACTAATACACAGCACCTCATCCAGATGCTCCATCCTCTGCTAAGCCTTACTAATGAACGTTATGATGACTGTCTACTTTGTGTCATGCAGGTAATGTGTCAGATGACCTCAACAGAGTGTATGAAAGGGCTCGGGTAGCCAAAGAGGAAACGGTGTCACAAAGTCCTGTGAAGGTCAGTGGAAAACAATTTTTCTGTCTCCCACGTGATGTCCGTCTGAGTCCAGGTTTCAAACATCTAGATCCAGTTTCTCAAAGGTCCTTTTTGACTGATCTCTCTGCCCAGTTTTCTCTTAGTGTAGTTTTATAAGTTTGACAGTTCAGATCAAATACAGAAAATAATCCTGACTCCAAGTCCATATAAAGAAAGGTAAAAAAGTATGTTGGATAACTTTCAAGAATTTTAGCAGGGAGCTCTGAAAGACCAACACATGGATCAAGACTTTTATTCCTCTGCTGATACTAAAAACTCAAGTGGAAGACGACATGATCAATCAGTCAATCATTATTTGTATAGCGTACTTTCACAACAAGTGTCATCTCAAGATGCTTCAGGATTTTTCCTTTGTATTCCTCTCGTTCCTGTTGTGCACACTTACTTTGTCGCTGAGGTAGAAGTCGGAGCAGGCCGTGCATGAATGAGGACGGCGGTGGTTGTGGGGACGACACAGTCCGATGGAGACTTGGAAATGATTATTGCAAACATTTCAGAACATCCTAACTGTTTTTTCTTAGTTGAAAAATACTTAAATTACAGAGAAGATTCAAGAGAAAGATTTATTTGAAGATGTTGCTGGTGGAACAAAAACATTTTCACCTGTTTGTGATTCATCCACACAGAGGGGAAGACAAATAGACCAGACTTATTTCTTGGGCCTCTGCACACCAGGGGCGTGTCCAGACTATATTGACTTTTAGGTGGCCCAGCTGGGGCACTGACTAATGCAGGGGTGGCCTGAAGTGTGATGTGCACACACATACACACAAATTAATATACATTATTTACCCTTTCTAACTTCACCAATCAGATGTTATTTTATGTCACGAAATAATGGCAACATTAGCTTCATTTTTAATGGGGTAGTAGCAGAGAGAACTCCCATGATTCCCCTCCAGCCTCAACGTCACCTTTTGTTACTGAATTGATTGAGAGCCCCCTGGTGGTGGAATCTACTTACTGTGCCTTTTAAGGTACGTAAAATGTATGCAAACTCCTGCGCAGTCTACCTTGTAATGTTTTGGTGCTGACACATTGCCAGTTAGTTGATTGCAAATTAGACAGAGTGCATTACTTTCCTAATAACCTGTTTTATGAAATAAATATGCAAAGTTGTTATTTGCAATTTAAAGTGCAAACAAAAGAAAATATGCTACATTGATATGTAAAAAAAACTACGAGCAGCCTTTGCCAAAATTTGACCTAATAGTTGGTTTAAACATTAGTCCCGCCTCTGACAGGGCAAATAGCCAATGACAGTTCAGGATTTTTGGGGTGGCCAATCAGATTTCTAGGGGGGCCATGCCACCCCTGGCCCTCTGGACACGCTCCTGCTGCCAAATATTTGCAGATTCAGTCGATCATTTTTGGCATAAAGAGGCGACTGCTGCTCAACACGAGTGTGTAGCTTGTGGTTTAGGGTTGTTCTAAAAGTCATCACTCTGTTTTTCTTTCTGTCTTTGTCTCCTCAGTCTATATTAAAGAAGAGTGTCACGATGCTGCACACTCCATCTGCTGTTTATCACTACAGTGAAGCTGGAGGAGGAAACGTCAACCATAATAAAGTCAATGCAATTTTCCAAGCAGCTAAAAAGGATCTGCTGCAAGTCATCCCCTTACAGGTAGCATACCAACTACATCTTTTTTTTTTTTATTTAAAATATTTAATCCTAAACCTTGTCTTACATGTGGAGAAATTAAGTAATATTGTTTCAGGGTTTTCCCACAGTTTAGAAAGAAATGTCCTCGAGCCCAAACATTGAAATCTAAACGTAACAGATGGTAAAAGTCTGACATGTATTGATTTGGCAATAGTTTGTCATCATGAATCTACTGTATATTTTGTAAAGTGGTTATGACCAGATACTTCAGCCGGAGTTGGTTCCTTTAAATGTCATGTCATGTCAATAGAACCCCAGCCTGCTGGAGGGGAGGGTGAATCTGCGACAGGTCAAAGCCGGCACTGCTGTAGGCAACCAGGGAGACCAGGTCAGTTTGTAACACTTCTCTCTCTTTGTTATTAAGGCGCTAGATGACTGTGTATGTTTTTTTTTATTGTTTTTTTTTACAAACTGTGACTCATGAAAGTCATTTTCTAATTCCAATAAATTACATGTTTCTTATTTATTTTTTATTAATGTCTTGGAAAGTAATCCACATTCATTATTTTGGATTTACCGGTAACTGTTTTTGTGCCACAACCGTGCTTCAGGGGGAGGCAAGATGAAGGAAGAAGCATCTAGAAAAATATATTTAAAGGAGAAATCTGTAAGATATTTACTGAATTAAATGATAAAGTGACCTTACTATATGATCAGACATTAAGGAAACATGCTGAAGTGTTGTTGAAGTGCTGGCTTCTCTGACAACAATGCAGCAGCCAGTATGTCCTCTTTCTAACTTTAGATTCTGCTCCTGAATGCTCTGGATTTGTTTGGACCAGAGAAGGTAGGCGGTTTGAAGGAACCCCCACACGGCTGTTTTGGACGCCCTTTAGTTTATCAGGCAAACAGCAAACCAACAGGTGTTGGAGGATTGAAAGGTGCAAGAGAAGTGGTTCAGATAGAATTGTGATTGTACCCGACCTAAAAAGCCTCTGCATGTTTCTAATAAGCTCCACGAGCAGAAACGTGATCAAACTAGGATCAATATTGGAGATGCTTTCGAAAAATGGAGAGAGGTTAGAACACAGAAAGGTTTACAGACCCATGCAGAGCTGGATAAACACTGAAGCTTCAGTGTTCACCACATGGTGACCTAGAGCATCCACTCTAGAGAGGAGGAGGGCGGGGGGAGACAGCTTGTACTTATGGTCTTCTGCATGTTTGCATTATTGTGCTTCTGTTTATGTGCGTATGTACATTTCACAGGATGTGAGCATTGCGTTCGTCATCTCGGGGTTACTCCACGTCTACCAGCGTATGATCGACCGTGAGGAGGACACCCTGCTGTTTGTCACCCACCCGGGGGAGATGGTGGGTCACCTGGCTGTTCTCACGGGAGAGCCCCTGATTTTCAGTGTCCGCGCTCAGAGAGACTGCACCTTCCTCTCCATATCTAAGGCTCACTTCTACGAGTAAGATCACACACCAAACAGTCAGTCATTTCTTTCCATGTGGGTTCCTCCCTGCGTATGACGAGGATGCACACAGATCTGTGTTTTTTTTTCATTTTGCAGGATAATGCGCGAGGAGCCCAGGGTGGTGTTGAACGTAGCTCACACTGTGGTGAGGAGGGTTTCACCATTCGTCAGGCAGATTGACTTTGCTCTGGACTGGATGGCTGTGGAGGCTGGACGGGCGGTCTACAGGTATCTGATGGACTTTCTGGTGAAACACGTAAATCATCGTTTCTTTAGCTTCCTCTCATGACTTACGTCTTGTGAGCCTCCTTCATTAACGACATGAAAGAACTGAACTGAGCTTGTTATTGTGCATGAAAACAATTATTATTACACACATATTGGTTCATATGGTAAAGTGGTGTGGTAAAAACTTCCTGGCAAGAACATCCCATTTGAATTGTACAAAAGTCAACAACATATCCAGGAGGGTAGCAACATACTCGACTGTCATCACACTTTAATGAATACCACATGTGATTAGCTCTAAATGCGGTAAAGGCAGAATGTGTGACATTTTACAGATAAATATGTGTAAATGTCTCTGAGTCATGACTGTCTACAATGAGTGAGAAGCTTGAGTCCTGCCAGTTGTACTGTTGTCAGAGCCGTGCTTACATCATGTTTACATTGACAGGACGGCCTTGAGTAAAAAAGCTGTTTTAGTCAAGAACTAGAGAAAAGAAGAAGAACATAATCACTGCTTATTTTTATGTCAAGTCAGTGTGTTTAGATCTTGGTCATTCTGTTTCAATTTATGTGCAATATGAAGCTACGAGCTAACCAAAGAGTGCCAACACTAGCCCGCTAACATAACAATGCAGGACACAGAGAATTGCAGCTCGAGCAAAGGACAATTTTCTCCGCCGCTTGCGCTTAATAGTGCTTAATCATGGTGCGTTCTGATTCATAACTCCCTCTTGCAAGTTGATGGGAGAGGGGTTGGAGGTGTGCCACTGTAGGAGAGCAGAGGCTTCAGAATAGAGGAGGTGTCTCCATACAGCAGTTTGTTTTGGTTTCATGCTGGTGATCAAGGGCGACATCCACTGGATCAAAAAGTCGCACATTCTTCCTTTAAGCAACAACAAACATGAAAAAACGTAAGAAAACACGTGGCCCAGGGTTCATGTTGTGGTGAAAAACTTGTACAAGCATAAACAACAAAAAATAGGGGATGATTATCACGGGAAAAGAGACTGATAACAGAGCATATAGTGCAGGAACAAAACGACTTTTAAATGTTAATCCATAGAAATATATATATATTTTTTTTAATGGAATAACTTTTAATGTTTGTTTTAACGTCATGTTGGATTTTGTTCTGTTCTGAATGTTCGTAGACAGGGAGACAAGTCCGACAGCACCTTCATTGTCCTCAGTGGCCGTCTGCGTTCTGTCATTGCAAAGGATGATGGGAAGAAGGAGCTGGCTGGAGAGTATGGCCGTGGGGATCTTATCGGTGTTGTAAGTTAGCCAGAAACTCTTTTAAAACTTTTTAATAAAAAAAATAAAATAATACAATCTAAAAGACCCACATTGACATTGACAGACACCTGCTTTGTTTTGATTTTTTCAGGTTGAAGCCCTGACCCATATGAACCGAGCCACCACAGTCCACGCTGTCAGGGACTCGGAGCTGGCCAAGCTTCCTGAAGGAGCTCTGAACTCCATCAAGAGGAGGTACCCTCAGGTTGTTACCAGGCTCATTCATCTGCTCGGACAGAAGATCCTGGGAAACATGCAGCAGGTCAATGGACCTCTGGCTGGTAACCAAAATCTCTTTTCTGTATCTTTGTCAATTTATGTATCCACCATTACCAGTCACTTCTCCCTGATCAGGACTGGGGCTTCAAAGATGCAAATACTTCTTAAAGGAGTTGTTAATCAGTAGGATCTGACATGCAAATATTAAAAATGTAATTAGAGGGAGTTCAATAAGTTCGCTGAATCATACAGTGATTGTTCTTAATTGAAATGCTAATATCCACAATGGACATGTGCTGAAAGAAAGGTGTACAGAAATGATTTCTGACTCACAGACTCACAGACAACTTGTACTCACAGATGTGCACTCTTTCAGATGGAGCAGAAATAAAGAACAGTAAAAAATAACAGCTCTGCTTCACACATCTTACAATCAACTCTCTTAAAGGGCCAGCACACTTCACAGCCAGCTGACACTTTGACAACTTAAAGGGACGGCACAAATACAAATTATACATTAAGGTTCACTTTTATTGTCCCCTTGGTAAACTTTGTCATATACCTGTCATCACAGTAGAACTTATGAAAATAATCATTTCAAAAAGTAAAAAAAAAAGCAGCACATGGTAAACCTGATCAAACATTAAACATTACACATGGTGCACATGTTCCAAGATCAGGCAAAGAAAGACTATATACCGTACATGTAGTTTACAGCATTTTATGTATAAACATGTAAAAACTGTTCTTTATCTTTTATATCTAATGAGAAAAAAACTCTCCTCTGCCTGCAGCTCGTAGTCTGGGTCTCCACACCCCTACCAGTAAGTGGGATGCTGGGAATCCAGCCTCCAACCTGTCCACTGTGGCCATCCTGCCAGTGTCTGAGGATGTTCCCCTCACTGCCTTCACTCTGGAGCTGCAGCACGCGCTCAGTGGAATTGGTACGAACACACACACACACTGTGCCGACTGTCCTTTAAAATGTTACATGAAGTATCATGATTTCCAAGCCCTATTCAAACTGTCAAGCTCCTGCTGTGCAACGCTGAAACACAACGTGAATTCACAGACTGGCACACCAATTATAAACTGTCTCAGAATCTATATAAATGTACAAAGACTTGATGACGGCTGAGCTTAGTTACGGCACTTTTCCATACTCATTGATCGTTCCAGTGTAAGCTGCAGGGATCCGTCGCGACTGCTGATTTTCTTCTTTTCTTTTTTTTTTTTACACAAACCAATGTGCACAAAATGGATCACTGCTTAGGTTTGATGTTTCATCCTCCTATCAGAACTTTTGTGTGTGTGCAGAACATTCAGCTCAGGGAAAACAGAGCAAACACATGGATCATTAACCACCCTGTTGTACATGTTGTGTTAGGGCGAGCGCAGTGCCTTTTTAATTCCATGTGGATCACATGTGTTTACTGCTGACAACCTTTCACACATTCTGCAAACCAGAGAAAATGTTCCTTAAAGCTTTTTTATTTAGTTTCAGGGAAACATGTTGTTCAGCACAAAAATCCATAACAGTGCACACACTGTTTTCAAGCTGACCATCGGGCGCTTTACAGTTCCAGTTTCCTCCGGCTGCTTGAAACGTTACACATATTCATGCCTAAATTGTACTCTGCATGTTTGAACACTTCACCTGAAGGCAGCCGGCACACAGTGTAATACATTAAAGAGAGTCATTTAGAACAACTAATGCACTCTTACCATGATCAGAAATAGATCTGTACATCAACATA